AATACAGAGCTAACAGGCTAAGTTTGAATACAGAGCTAACAGGCTGAGTTTATTAAATACAGAGCTAACAGGCTGAGTTTGTTTAATACAGAGCTAACAGGCTAAGTTTGTTTAATACAGATCTATCAGGCAACACGTTGCTTTGTGATGTCATCATCTCGCTTCTGTTTCCTGACTCTTACCCACAATGCACCTGCCAGGAAGCGTTGAATTGCAGTTGGCGCGCCGCTGGATGTAAACAGTCAACACGAGGAGACGCGGCGGAAGTGTTCTCACTCGCAGGTCAGTTCAGCTCCAGTCGTCCATCTGTCCTCCCCGCTGACACTTCGACCATGACATCGACGCTACCCAACTCCAGAATAATGTTAACTCGAGGCGGCAGTGCGGAAGCAGCGGACTTTTAAGCGACCATGTGCTATTCTGTTGCGTTATGGAGACACAACGCGTTGAAGAGCTGTATAGAAATCCCCGTTTAGTTTCCCTGTGTGGGAAGATCATCTTATTTGATCACAAGCGAGCTTCAGGCAAAAGCAACAGCAGAAAAAGTGAGTTAACATTCCGCAGCTTGTCGTATGATCGGGGGAGCAACAAGTTCCTGAAGGATGGAGCAGCTGTCATCAGCAGGAAAACACCCGCCCACGTGGACATCGTAAACTGCAAATGTGCCTTAGACCTCCAGAGGAGAGTAACCACACCGTGTGTAGTAGTGGCACAGAGGGGGGAGAGAGGAGATGGCTTCTTGTATAGCCTGCTAACAATGTGTGGCTCACACAGACTGGAGTCGTGCTTTGAGTTTAAGCTTCCTTATCAGATAAAGGGGGCTGCGTCCATCCTCCAGGGCCCCACAGTGTTGTGGAGTCACGCTGGTTATGTCTTCTATACGTCTCCGCAGGCAGGAGAGGTGAAGCAGATTCCCCTGCAGTTGTCCCACAGTGTGTTTGGAGAACTCCCCCTCCTCAGAGGTCAAGTATTTGTTCTTGGGCTGAAAAATGAGTGCGATCAGCCCTCAGGCCAAACCCTGGGTTATTTCCCTCAGAGTGGACAAGCTTTCGATGGCTCTCTGATTCTACCTCACCCCTACATTGGAATCACACGATGCATCTTGGCGCTCTCGGCCGAGGTAGTGGACGGGGCCCTGAAATCTGCTGTGGTTGCAGCGACTTCTCACCAGCAGCTCGTTTATTTCCAGAGTGGGGTTGTGAAAGACATGTGTCCGCTCCCCTTCCAGCAGCCCGAAGACATTCAGTTGGTCAACTGTGGAAGGAATGGCTGCCTGTTGGTCATATCCTTCCACCAGGGAAATGTTTGCGCTCTATGGAAGGAAACATTTCAGGTATGTAAACAAAATGTGTTTCATTGAGTATAGGTGTTTTCTAAGATAACAAGTTTTCTAAGTCTACTTATTAACCTTTCTCCTCCAGATAGCCTGCCACTGGTCAGGTGTCAGCTCTGTCCATGTGGATGACTTCCTGGGATGTGGAACAGACCAGATCCTCTTGGTTTTTAAGGATGAGAGAGTAACAGGACAGCCGCTAGACAAGTTCCTCATCACAGACCTCTGTGGTATTTCATATTCTGTAAGACATACCTTTTACAATATGCTGTTCATAGGTTTTCTGTTGATGAAATGCATATGTTCAGCATAACTCTTTAAATATAAATTTTTTTCAGCATGGACAGGACACTGATGATCCAAAGCAATCTTCTCCTCCACCAGAGAACAACCTTCTTACTCTTCAAGCCTTGGAGTCCAGACTACAGGTGAACATCACTGCATTAGTCTTTAATTCACTATTATAACTAGAATGGCACTAGCCCATACCTCTGCTGAGGCCCAACACTGCCAACAGTCCCCTTTAATTGTTTCCTGGTGATATGAGCAGATTATGTTATTTATAATATC